TCATCTTTAAAAAAAAAAGAAAAGAAAAGTGTATAGATCTAAGTGCACAGCTCGATAGCTTGCCACAAATGACATACCTGTGTAACCTACACCCGGATCAAGAAATGAAACATTCCCAGCCCCCCAAGAGTCCTGGGCCCCTATCCAGTCATTGCCCCCAACCCCAGCAGCCACTCCCCTGACTTCTAACAGGATTGATTAGTTCTGTTTGCCTTTTAAATTTGTATAAATACAGGGTGACTAATCATCCCAGTTTGCCTGGGATTGAGGTGGGACTTCTCAAGATGTGGGATTTTCAGTGCTAAAACTGGGAATGCCCCAGGAAAACTGTGACAAATCAGTCATCCTATATAAATGACACCATGCACACTGTGTGTGCCTTAGTGTGTAGTTTCTTTGACCCATCACGTCTATAAAATGTATGCTGTTGCATGCAGTTGCCATTTATCACTTTCATTGCTGTGTAGTATTCCATTGTGGGAATGTACCACACTTGTCCGTTTTATTGTTGATGGCCATTAAAGTTGCCTCTGGTTTTTGACTAGTATTAAAAGTGCTGCTCTGAGCATCCCGATCAGGTCTTTGGGTGAACAAATGAATGCCTGCTGCTCAATTTTAAGATGATGGTGACATTTTCAGCTCTCACTAGAATTGAGAAATGCCACTGCCTGCTGAAGTTCCCTGTGACCCCAAAAAGTCCAGAGTCTCACATCTGCTTCTGTCGTCAACAGGGTGGCTCCTATGGCCGAAGAACAATCTTGAGAGGCAATTCCGATGGTACTCTCGTCCTTTTCCTTAGTCATTTAGAACAATTCTGTGATCAGAAGAAAAGCCACCATGAAGTCCTCAAGGAAATCAAGCACCAACTGGTAGTACAATTGACCTTACAGGGGTTAGAAAACAAGGTCAAGATCCAGATGCTCCATGGCAGGCTCACCATCGAGGTGTCTGCAACACGGCAAAGCATCTCCTTTGAGGTGCTGCCCGCCTTCAATGCTCTGGGTGAGCACTCCGGGTGTGAGGGGGAGAAAAGCCAAGGAAAGGGAGGCCAGACAGTCATGTGGGTCCTCCAGGCTGGAGGCAGGGTAGCTACCACTGGTGCTTTCCACAATGCGAGACCACAGACCCCCAGGAGAAAAGAGTCTGTCCTACCCTGGGCTTACTCTGTTCTCTGCAACTTCTCCCCTATCTCCTAATTGACTTTGGAGAAAATGTTCTAGACTCTAGAATCTGAAGCAGAGCTTTTCAGACTGGAATGTGCCCATGAATCACCTGGAACCTTGTCAAAAAGCAGGTTGTGATTCAGGAAGTCTGAGCCAGGGCTGGTTTTGTATTTCTAACCAGCTCCATGATGATGACGATGCGTGTCCACAGACCACTCTTGAGGGTTGAGACTAGAGCCGATGTTGGTTAGAAGATGAGGATGGGGTAAACATCTGGGAAAAGTCCAGCTGGGGCGAGCACTTGAAGTCTGCCTCCTACCAGGTCAACACAAAGGCAACAACCTTCCATGATGTCTGTTTACCAGAGCTTGAGGGGCACCTCAAACCTAACTCCCGTCTCCCCAAGACCTGCCCACCTCCTGCATCTCTTGTCTTGGCAAATGTCCCCACAGTCCTGCCTGTCACCTAAACCAGGGATGTACCTCTGACTCCCCATCTCCTCACCTGCAGCTCACCACTGAGTCCTCCTGGTTCTGCTTAACTTGCTCTTGAGTTGGCTTCATTCCTCTCCCTTCCCACTGCTGCTTCCCTAGTCAAGGCCACCATCAGGGCTGGCCCAGATATGGCAATGTCCTCCTAATGGTCTCCCTGCCTTCTTTCTTACTCCACACCACAGCTGGAGGCTCTCTTTCCAAGCACAAAAATGATTTTGTCACACACTCTGCATTAAACCCTCTAACAGCTTCTCATTGCATTTAGGATTAGGAGCAAACTCCTCTGCAGGACAGGACTTTGACGATCTGGCGACTCCTGCTTACTTGCCTCTCTAGCATGACCACTCACCACCAATTAACTCTATGCTCCAGCCTCTCTGAACTTCACTAGGCTCCTCAAATGCACCATGCTCACTCGACTTGAGACTTTGGCCCATGCTGTTCCTTTGCCTGGAACATTTTTTCCCAAACTTTTATTTTTGGATAACTCCAGCTCATCATTTAAGTCCTCTGGCTCTGTACAGCTGAGTTAGATTTACCTCTTATATGCTGCAATAGCAATGTGTGCTTTCTCAGTCATGAGATTTGTCATTCATATGGAAATAATTTGTTTAGTTTTCTCTTCTCCTAAACTGTAAGCTCCACGAGGACAGGTACCATGAATGTCTTGTTCTTCTCTGATCTCTAGTACAATGTTCATTATAAATAATAGCTGCTGGATAGATGGATGGAAGGGTGGCTGACTGGCTGGCTGGATGAATGGATCATGGATGGATAAATGGATGAAAGGAAAATGGATGGATGAATGGATGGATGGATGGATGGATGGATGTGGATGGATAAGATTCAGCATAGTTACAGCTTAGTCTCAAGCACAAGTACACATAATCACAAACTTAAAGAATGCCACAGCTGAAATTCAACTCCTCATTAAACAAGTGGGCAAACAGAAGGAAAGAAATGTGCCCAGGGCTGCACAGCCAGTTACTGACAAAAAATAGAATAAAAGTCCAGGTCTTCTAAAACCCATGCCAGGGTGTCTTCATAGTTTTAAGGAATTTCTGGGTTATGAGGGAACTTTAAGAACAATTAATCCAACCATCATCTGATAGAGTGGAGACACACACACCCTAATGATTCATGTTCACAGAAAGGTGGCCTGATTCAGAGAAAAATGCACCTCTTTGAGAAGTAGGCAGCCCTGAGTTCTTATCTCAGCCCCACTACTTACCCATGTTCACCAACTGTACGATCAGACTGTAAACAACTAGCTTCTGGGGCCATTTGGATGCTAACGGTTGGGAGTGTGTGACTGCCTCAAACAAGGCCGGACATCAAAGTGGAGAAACATGCAGGACTCAGGATTCTGATGGAAAATCCTGTGTATTCTCCTCTTGACCAGAGCACTGTGGTCGGGGACCAGGCCAGAGCGCCCTCTGCTGGGTTCACTCCATCATGCAAGGATGGTGCGAGAAAGAGAAATGAACCCTCCCTCACATGTGGTACCAGAAGTCACCACCAGATGGTAGTAGAACTGCACATTCCAAACTAAGATCCCTCTTCTATAAGGAAGCAACAATGGCTGCTTTCTGAGAAAAATAACCTACAGGGAAATTTATAAATTGCTTTCTTTACTAAATATTAGCCTAACTAACGTGGCCTACTTTTTAAACCAGGTCCGGGCAATCTTCCTGCAACTCTGTGTCTCTTTCCACTGCCGTGTGCCACCAACACTCTCTCCCCATGGCCTTTGACCCACAGCAGGAAGTGCCTGTTTACTTGACTTCCTGATGTTTCCTTTTTCTCATCTGTAAATTAGCAGTAATAATTGTACTCACCTCACAAGAGTTTTGTGAGGGTTGTATGTTTCATCGTCCATAAAGAACTCAAACTGTGCCTGGCATGGAATAAGCAGTCCATAAATGTTAGCAATACTATTGTCTTTACAGAGGATAGAATGCACTTTTCCTCAACCTCCCTGCTTCCACGTGCCCAGAGCCATGTCAAGGGAGTCAGTAAATATCTGTTGGGGTGTATGAGAGAAACAAGCTGGTGCTTTCTCGTTCAGCTAGCCAGGATGGAAACCCGCTGATTAACTGGCCTGCATCTCAGACCTCCAGGGCCCTGCTCCCACTTTGTCTGACTCCTGAAAGTCCCTGAACCCTTGATTCCCTGAAATAGAATACCACTGGATGGGCTTGATAGCAGTATATACTGTATATGAGATGTGAAAACTTTATTTTCTTCCAGATGAATGCCCATTGCGCCAACACCAACAATTTTTAAAGAAACCGCCCTTTCCCTACTAATTCGAATTACCCCCTTTTATTGCACTTCTCATCCCTCTATTTAGTTCTGTGATGTTGTCTTAGGTCAACACCATACCATCTTCACTGTGGTCATTTTAGACTACGTTTTATTATCTTAGTAGGAAAAGCCACCCTTCATTACCTTTTATGTAAATGCACCCATCCTCCTACAGACTAAGCAATGGACGTGTGCTATCAAACTACGGCTGACTTAATCGTTGAGCCCCTCTGATCTCTGAGACCAGGTTACATGAATACTAAAATTCCTGTTTCTGTTTCACTTCAGGCTTGAGTGAGAATCCCAGCTCCAGGATCTACCGAGATCTCAAAAGATCTTTGGATAAGACAAAAGCCAGCCCCGGTGAGTTTTCAGTCTGCTTCACAGAACTCCAGGAGAAGTTTTTTAACAACTACCCCAGGAAACTGAAGGATTTGATCCTCTTGGTAAAGTACTGGTATCAACAGGTAATTTTCAAATTATAAATATGTTGTTATCATTCATTTCTTTTTTATTGAGATAATTTACATGCAGCAGAGTGCAACAATCTTAGTTATATAGGACAGCGCATTTTTTTACAGCCTCATTAACAACACTCAAATCAAAATAGGGAACATTTCCTACACCCCGGAAGGGACCTCAAGCCCACCACCAGTCAATAATCTCCCTAAACAAACCCCTATTGTAAAATCTGTCACCACAGATTAGTTTTTCTTGTTTTTAAATGATAAAAATGGGATCACACTGTACATATTTTGTGTCTGTCTCCTTTTCCTCAGCATTATGTCTAAGAAATTCACTCATGTTGCCGTAGCAGTTTTTCATTGTTTTATAGTGTTCTGTTATATACTATTCCATAATCTACCACATGCTTATCCATTCTACAGCTGATGGACATTTGGAGCATTTCCAAATTGGGGTTATTATACATTAGGTTACTATGGATATCCTCCTACGTGTCTTTTTGTGAATCTAAGCATTCATTTTTCTTGGGTAAATATGTAGGAGTGGAATTGCTAGGTCATAAGGTACATGTATATGTATGTGTGTATACATAGCCACATGGTATATATATATGTATGTATATATGTGTACATGTATGGACTATATATGGAATATATATATATTCCCCATATAAATATGTGTGTCACCATATATATATATTTTTATTTATTTATTTATTTATTTATCTGTAGTAAGTACTGCCAAGTAGTTTTCCAAAATGGCTGTACCGAATTACACTCCCATCAGCAATATATGAGAGTTTCCATTGCTTCACACCTTGCCAACACTTGCTATTTATTGTCAGTGAATTGAATCTCAGGCATTCTGGTGGGGAACAGTGACTTCTTACAGACGTCTGGTTTCTTGATTTCAGACCTCTAGCATGGGAGGACCTGGGTCCCCAAATTAGTCACTGCCCTTTTCTTCTTCCACAGTGCCAGAAAAAACTGGAGGATTTACCCTCACTGCCTCCATATGCTCTGGAGCTGCTTACGGTATATGCCTGGGAACAGGGGTGTGGAGCAGAAGACTTTGATATGGCTGAAGGCATCAGAACTGTTCTGGAGCTGACCAAGCAGCAGCAGCTGCTGTGTGTCTATTGGACAGTCAACTATGACTTTGAGGATGAGACCGTCAGGAACGTCCTACTGAACCAGCTCGGATCAGAGAGGTACCAAGCCTCCCCAGATCCTCTCCCTGTACCTGTTCATCTGCATGCCAGGCTGTGCCCTTTAGAATGAGGTCTCAGCCTTGCCCTGTCCAGCCAGTGATGCACCAAAAGACTGGCAGCCACAGTGGGGTTGGGGGTAGGGGAAAGAGGGTCTGTCTGAAAGAGGGAGGCCTAGCCATTGATTTTCACATTCCAAACCATCCCCATGTTTTGTCCCTAAAACAAACACTGGAGAGGAGTTTCCCTTATAATAGCAAGTTGCTAAAAGAGAAAAAAGGGTCGCGACATTAATGAATTTTATTTATTAGTAAGTAAAGCAGAGAATTCAGGGCCAGAGAGGCTAGATATCTTAGATGAAGCCCTTCAGTAGCTTAGAGGAACCACCAGCAACCAAAATCCACGTTACCAGATTCCCATTTGAGGCCTCTTTCTCCAAAACTGATTTTTTTTACCCATAAGAGGCTCAACTAATGTTTTTAATCTGATGGAATTTATAGGCCGGTAATCTTGGACCCAACTGATCCAACCAATAATGTGGGTCGCAACAGTAAGAAATGCTGGAAACTGCTGCAACAAGAGGCTCAAAACTGGTTGTGCTCTCCCAGCCTGAACAACGAGTTACCTCGACCATCTTGGGATGTTCTGGTGAGAGGATTTTCCAAATATAGCTTGTTTCATGCTGCAGGGAGGGTCCTCCTGGCACCCAGACTGTCTTGTCCATAAGTACCATGTATTAGTTTCCTGTGACTGCTGTAACAAAGTACCACATTCTGGGTCACTTATTCTCTTGTTGTTCTGGATGCTAGGAGTCCAAAATCAAGGTGTCGGTAGGGCCGTGCCCTCCCTGCGGGCACTAGGGAAGAATCCTTCCATGTCTCTCACAGCTTCTGGGGACTACTGGCAGTCCTTGGCTTGTGGCTGCATCACTCCAGTCTCTGCCTCTAATGTCTCGTGGCTTTCTCCCTGTGTGTCCTCACACCGTCTTCTCTCTGTGCGTGTCTGTCTCACTGTCTCTCTTCCAGTCTCTCTCCTCTTCTTGTAAGAACAATAGTCATACTGGATTAGGGCCCATCCTAATGACCTCATCTTAATTTGATTATATCTGTAAAGACCCTATTCCTAAGTAAGGTCACATTCACAGGTACTGTAGGTTGGAACTCCAGCACCTTTTAGGGGAACACAATTCAACTTGTAATATGCCACTAGGGGTATTAGTGATGTGACTGTGACGTGCAAGAGGGAACAGAGAGAAAGGGGATCCCCACAGATGAGAGGTTTCAATTAGTCTCGGCCAGAGAGAAATCAGGTGAGCAGGTGGTGACAGGTGAAATGGAACAGAGCCCAAGAGACGTAGGTGGCAGTCGCACCTGTGGGTGCTGGACAGGCTCTGAGCTCCATTCAGGCAGGTGTGGAGGGCATGAGTGAGAAGTGGGGCAGAAACAGGAGAACTAATTAAAGGACTGGCTGTGAAACAGATGCATTGGCTTTCTGCCTCCTGTCCCCAACAGAAGTAAATCTATCCACACGGAACTCCCCTGCACTCTCAGCCCTTATTAAAGCAGCGCAATCCAAGAAGTACATTTGCAGATTAGACCACTGAGTCCATTCAGCTTTTCTGGGCATCACAGTGGGGACAAATGTATCATTTGAGACCACACGGGCCAACCAAATTCTGCATTTCACAGGCACAGGACTAATTTATATCCAAATTATGGGAGGCAGGCGCTACATTCCATTGGCACAGAAATTTGAGGTCTCACCGAGCAAAAGTCTGGGAGGTAAATGAAGATGTAAATAAGCTGAACAAACTCATGAGGCCCTGGAAGTGAAGGAGTCTGTGAACAGGGAAATTCCCTAATCAGATCCAGAAGAATGACAGTGCTCTGAGCAGTCACCCCTGGATCCCCCACCCCGTGCCCCCACTTTCACTGGACTCCTGGTCTGTGCTCCCTGGCCTCAATTTTCCTGGCTTCCTAAAGACAGCTTTTTTCAAAACATTATTTCCCCCAACATTTTATTCTGGAAAGCTTTCAAACATATAGGAAAGTTGGAAAAATGTTTCAGTGAGCTCCTGTGTGCCCTTTACATAGATGCACAAGTGTGCAACATTTACCACATCTGCTGTTACCATTCACGAGCAAGCTTTCAAACATATAGGAAAGTTGGAAAAATGTTTCAGTGAGCTCCTGTGTGCCCTTTACGTAGATGCACAAGTGTGCAACATTTACCACATCTGCTGTTACCATTCACGAGTGTGTGTGTACACTTATTACCATTCTCATTCTCATTATTATTATAGTCACTATTTATACGGAGCCATTTGAGAGTAGGCTGCCAGACACCTCTTTACCCCTAAATGCTTTCATAGGGATCTCTGAGAACGAGGACATTCTCTTCAATAACCACCATGCCGGGATCAAATTCAGGAGATTAGGATCCATATATTATTATTGTCTAAATACAGTCCATTTTCAGAGTTTAACAATTATCCCAATTTAGGAGCACACATAGCATTTAGTTCTCCCACCTTTCCTAAACCATCCTTTGATACCTGCTTTGGCTGTATGTATTTATTTATTTATTTATTTAAAAGATGACCGGCAATGGGATCATAACCCTTAGCTTGGTGTCCTCAGCACCACACTCTCCCAAGTGAGCCACGGGCCGGCCCTTGTTTTTATTTTGCTACTGCATCAACTTCTGTTTCCAGAACTATGAGACCATCCCCCTCTCTACAGATATTGGAGACAATTCAGGCCCAGGATCCACTTCATAAGGAGGTCTAAGCAATGGAGGGCTCCCAAGCGCGCACGCACGCGCGCGCACACACACACACACACACGCGCGCACACACACACGCACACACACACACACACACACACACATGCCATGATATTCTGCACCAAGATTGACCTTCAACTTTCCAGCTGAGCACCCCTTCCCCCGCCCAGGTGAGTTGGCCCGTCTCCTCTGTGCTTACCAGCAAAAGGACAATGGCATCTGCATAAAACGGGGTATTCATTTCCTCTTACTGCTGTTAAAAAAAAATGCCCCAAACTTAATGGCTTAAAACAACACAAATGTATTATTACTGTTCTAGAGGTAAGCAGCCCAAAAATCAGTCTCACTGCACTGAAATCGAGGGGTTGGCAGGCCCTAGGGACGCAGGCATGTCCTTGCCTTTTTGAGCTTGGTTTGAAGCCCCTTCCTGCATCTTCAAAGCCAATAGCCTGGCATCTTTCAATGTCCCTGCTTCCATTGTCACATCTCCTTCTCCAACTCTGACCCTCCTGCCTACCTCCTATAAGGATGCTGTGGTTACATCAGGCCAACCTGGGAAATGCAGGATAATCTCTCCATCTCCAAACTGTAATCGCATCTGCTTCAGAGGGAGCATGGCCCTGCCAACACCTTGATCTAGGACTTTTGGCCTCCAGAACTGTGAGAGGATAAATTTCTGTTGTTTTAAGCCCTCCAGTTATAGTAACTTGTTACGGCAGCCCTAGAAGACTGATACAAGTGGGTACAGTGTGTTTAACAAAGGCCAATACATGGGCCGGCCCGGTGGCGCACTTGATAGAGTGCGGCACTTGGGAGCGCGGTGGCGCTCCTGCTGAGGGTTCGGATCCCATATAGAGACCAGTCAGCTCACTGGTTGAGCGCGGTGCAGGCGCGACACCGAGGGTTGTGATCCCATTGCCGGTCGCGGTACGGGCGCGACACTGAGGGTTGCGATCCCGTAACCGGTCACGAAAAAAGACAAAAAGGAAAAAAAAAAGTCTTCTGGAATATATTGAACAACTCTAAAAAAAAAAAACAAAGGCCAATACAACCTTAAAAAAGGAATAAATGTGATCATCAGAAATCTACAAAACCTGCAGTGAATGGGAAAATAAGGAAGGAACAGACAAATAGGTAAAGCAAAAAGGTGCTGGCCATTAGTAGGTGATGTCACACAGGAAGTGGAAAGTAGAGAGCAATTTGGAGCAGGGGCACTAACAACCTGTCAGGAGAAGGATCCAGATCACTCCTAGCGGGTAAGGAGGGGCATTTGGGAGGGTTTTTGTTTCTGGGGGATCTTGGGTACCACCCTAAACTCTCAGGTGTGTACTTAGGATATGTCAGTGCAATGACCAAAGAGATGGGGAAGTAGCCAACCTGAGGGTTGGAGAATAGGAGGGAGAGGTGGGCAGAGGGCCCAGAACAGGCAGGGAAGAAAGCCCTGCGGTCAGCTTGCAGGGGCCACTCACATCTGGGGTCTTCTGCCTTTCCCCAGCCAGCACCTCTCTTCTCGACCCTGGGCCATCGTCTAGATAAATTCATCAAGGACTTTCTCCAGCCTGACAAATGTTTCCTAGAACAGATTAGTATAGCTGTTGACATGATCTGTACATTCCTTAAAGAAAATTGCTTTCGACATTCAACTACCAAGATCCAGAAGATCATCAAGGTGAGCACTGGCCCTTCTTTAAGGGTATTTATTATACTGGAAGGGAGCTGGTGGTCATTGGAGCTCTCCAGGACTCATCTACCACCAGAAACTTGAGGAAAGGGAGCTGGGGAGCTCAGGGGACTAGGACACTGGTTTTCCATGGGGACTGTTGGCAGACTGCCTGTGTCGTAACAACACTTGAGGAAAGGGAGCTGGGGAGCTCAGGGGACTAGGACACTGGTTTTCCATGGGGACTGTTGACAGACTGCCTGTGTCATAACAACAGCCCTTTTCCTAGGGCTGCTGGCCATCCCTGCTGCTCGTGGGCTTGTAGACACATAACTCCAGTCTCTGTCTCTGTCTCCATATCACCTTCTCCTCTTGGGTGTCTTCTCCCCTTCTCTTCGAAGGACACTCATCATTGGATTTTGGGCCCGCGCTAATCCAGGATGATCTCATCCTGAGATCCTTAAGTTAATTACACCCACAAAAACCCTTTTCCAAATAGGTCACATTCAGGGTTCCCAGTGGACATATCTTTGGGGGCCACTATTTGACCCACTGCAGATTCTAAGCTTGTTGTATACTAAATCAGAAAGTGACCTCTTTCTTGTTTCAGTGACTAGAGCCCAATTCGCCCCGTCCGCTGAGCGAGAGATTCAGAGGATTAGATTGTTCTTGTCTGTGGCTCAAAGGCCATGGGCTGACACGCTTCCCTCTGTTTGTTGGTCACGTGACTAGGTAAACATGTGCCCATGATCACAAAAAGGGAGGGAAGAAAATGTGCAAAAACATCTGCAGTGATGTGAACACAGATCTGTGTGCGTCCTACACAGAGAGGGTCTGGGAAAGAGCATCACGAGCCCATGAGCAATGAGTAGCTGCCTCACTGAGGTTAATCAGAGCGAAAACAAGACTGAATTTGTGATCAGTGTTAGAATGGTTGAAGCATGCGTTTTCTCTCCTTCCTGAGACATCACTAGCATGATAGTAAATAAAGACGGAAAGGCATATGACACATCAAAGAAGAAAATAGGTAACATATGAAATTGCTGTCTGCTTGGAGCTGATCACAAGCTGGAAAGTTTTTTCTGCTGAAGTTGGGGGGGAAGATGCCACCTACAGAATATGAGGAGGGGGCTGTGGCTGGAGAGGGCCAGTGAAGCCCAGCAGAGGGCTGCGTGAAAGAAGTGGGCTGGAACAGGATGAATTGAGGATCTGTATACAGGAAAATAAAACACACACACACCCCTCACCTCCCTAACCCATGTAGCCAGGCATTTACTACCCATGGATAAAATAAACATTTCCCTAAGGAAACTGAATGAAGGAGGGGGAAGAAGAAGAGGAGGGAGGAAGTGGAGAAGCCTGTATGGCAGAGACATAAGTAGCCCACAAAGCCTTAAATATTCACTATCTGGCCCATTATAGACAGTGTGCTGACCTCTGTGCCTCAGTTATGAATAATCACCCAGTGATCCCCAGACTGCAGGAAGAAACTGATGAATCAAGGAACAGAGGAGAACTTTCAACGTAATAATTGCGTGCTGTTTGATTTCTTTAAATCACAGGAATTCAAATAAAGCTAGATATTCTTCAAGAGAAATCTTTAGGAAATTGACTTGAGAAGCAGGTAATTTATACCTAGCCTATCAGCTGTCTGAGCCTAAAGGGCATGAGAATAACTGCCTTTGGAAACGTATTGTCTATTAGTTTGTAACATTCTGCTTTGGACTCAGCCTTAACTGGACCCTAAGGTGGAACCTGCCCTTGGCAACCTCGTTAATTAGCCCAACTGGTGCCAGCCCCTGGGGGCGAGGGACTTGTGGTCCTAGAAATGCTGTATCTCAACTTTCCTGTCTTCACCAGGGAGGTTCCACCGCCAAAGGCACAGCTCTGAAGAGTGGCTCTGATGCCGACCTCGTCGTGTTCCCTGACTCGCTTAAAAGCTATACCTCCCAAAAAAGTGAGCGCAGCAGAATCATCAAGGAAATCCACGAACAGCTGGAAGCCTGTCGGCAGGAAATGCAGATGCAGTTTGAAGTGAAATTTGAGATTTCAAAATGGAAGAGAAGAGTGGCTCTGATGCCGACCTCGTCGTGTTCCCTGACTCGCTTAAAAGCTATACCTCCCCAAAAAGTGAGCGCAGCAGAATCATCAAGGAAATCCACAAACAGCTGGAAGCCTGTCGGCAGGAAATGCAGATGCAGTTTGAAGTGAAATTTGAGATTTCAAAATGGAAGACTCCCAGGGTGCTGAGCTTCTCTCTGAAATCCAAAATACTCAAGGAAAGCGTGGACTTCGATGTGCTACCTGCCTTTAATGCGCTAGGTAAAATGCCCCAGACCTTTAGCTTCTAAAGAGGAAGATTCTGGATTGTAGAAGTGAAGGTGGGCAGGAGTGGAGGAAAAACCTCATGACTTAGTAATGGGCTGTGAAAACATATACCACTCATGGGTCCAGGACCCATTAGTAATTATTAATATTTAATAACTTATTTAACATTAAATCTAAAATTGAATGATTAAGTGTATTTAATATTAGATTAAATGTTAATTTATTTAATAACTTATTTACTTAATAGCTTATTTAATATCAAATTTAAAATTAAATGGTTAATATTATTTTTAATATGAAATTAAATGTTTATTTAATATTAAATTTTTATTTAATGCTATTTGCTTATTTAATATTTATTTATTAATTAAATATTAATGCTGGCAGGTAGCATTAATTAATAATGGCAGTAATACCTTACACATATATGCCATTTTATTCTCATTTCTCATTGAAGTATCCAAGGACCACCAGGAGCCACATCTTATGCCCCCCCTGATATCATCCACCATATCTATGAAAGAATGGGGTGCACAGGGGTTCATACACATTTGCAGATAAGATACCTCAAGTACTAGTGAACGAAATTAAAGAACAGAATGTGGGGGGAATTCTGAGGTAAAGAGATGAGAAATCCGCTGTTTGCCTTTGATCTTAGGCAAAAATCTGCTAGAAATTCAGTTCATAGGTGACAGATACATAATGGTGTATTTTAAAAAGTCAAAGCTATTTCAGGCACTTTCCAAATCAAAATCATGAAGACTCTAGTACCTTCCCTCTGAATGGTTCTTAGTGTCTCTCAGAAAGGAACAACAGTATAGAATGGGGATCAGCAAATGTGTTTTTTGTAAAAGGCAAGACAGCAGATATTTTCAGCTTTGGGGAACATACAGTATCTGTCGCAACTACTCAACTCAGCTGTTGTAGCACGAAAGCAGCCACGCATGATATGTAAACAAATGGATGTGGCTGTGTTTCAATAAAACTTTATTTACACAGAGGGCTGGATTTAGCCCAGGGGCCATGTTTGCAAAATACAGATCAGCTGCAAAAAGTCTTTCTGCAATAATGAAAATGTCCTATATCTGTGTTCTATATCTACTGAGAACTTGAAATGTGGCTTATACAATTAAGGGCCTAAATTTTAAATTTTATTTGAACACAAATAGCCACATCGGCTGGTGGCTGCCATGTTGGACAGTGCAGGTCTAGATAATACTTTAATAATACCACCTTCACTCATGTAGACCATATAATTTTTAAAAAATGTCTCATTACTCTGAAGTTGCTCCCTGTATCTTAGACAACAGTGATTCAAATACACTAATACCATTCAAAGTAAGTTCCTAGAATTAAATTGTTTGTCAAAAATGTTTTAAATCTGTTACTATACATATTAAGGCATGATGTAAATATGTTCCCTGCTAGGTCAACTAAATTCTGGCTGCACACCCAGCCCCAGGGTCTATGATGAGCTCATTGGTCTATATAAATCCTCAGACACCCTGGGGGGAGAGTTTTCCACCTGTTTCACGGAGCTGCAGCGCAACTTCGTTGTTTCCCTGCCAACCAAACTGAAGGATTTAATTCGCCTGGTGAAGCATTGGTACAAACAGGTATGACAGCCCTCGTTCTGGCCACCTGGTTATTATTTTTACTTGTAAGTTGTGACCATTAAGCCAACATTTACCAAGTGCCCCATGTGCCCACACTCTCCCATACTGGGGGCTGAGCCACTTTAGGGGAATCTGCTGACTCCTTAAACCCTGGTTATCTTTGTAGAGTGCCCATCACTAACCCCATTAATTTGGGTCAGGTGTAGAGCACCTTCTATCACCAAAGCTGCTACTCAAGGTTTATTTTGCCCTTGAACTGGCTAAAGAATTCTACAGGAATACAAATTATCTTGCCTACGAAGGGTGCATGGAAGTTGGTATTTATATGCCTACAAATTGTCAGTATGGCTTTGCTGCTGCTAGGTGCCCATGAGTAATAGACATGGATGCTGCCTCTTAGAAGGCAGGTTGAAGCTATAGGCGGTACTGGGGCTTCCCTTGCTGTAGTGGTTAGCCTCCCCACACTCGTATCAACTGCTTGCACACAGGTAGTTTCTGTGTATAGTCAGCCCTCCAATCTGTGGGTTCCACATTCATGGGTTCCACCAACCACAGATCAAATATACTGTAATCAGGCAGAAAACAATCAAAAATAACAATACAACAGTGAAAAATAATACAAAATGTAAAATACAGTAAAATAACTATATAGCATTTATGTTGTATTAGTGTTACAGGGCACACTGAGCTCCTGGCTAAGGCTCCCCCAAATTGATACCAAACTCACAGGTCTGGCTGCTTGTCCCCAGACAAAAGCAAAGCACTCAAAAGTCAGATGTTGGTGGAAATGGAAGTCAGTTTTTATGCAGGAATACCAGTGACCTGAGGAGAGATGTTGGGCCAACCCATCTCTCTGGTAAACCTGAAGGAGAATGGCCAGGCTAAAGCATCTCAAAGACTCAGGTTTACTGAGGGGTTTTTAAAGAGGGGGATGAGGGAATGGAACGTGGGAAATGAAAAGCAGAAGGGAGGGGCACGTGAGCAGTGAGGGCTCCACGCAAGGTCTCAAGTGCAAGGTCTCGCCAAGATTCCGTCCGGTTTCTGCTCCCGTCCATATCTCATGGTCTGGGTAGTACATGCAAGTCTACAGCTTCAGGCTGGCTGGAAAACAACTTTACGTGCATACAAATAATGTCATCTTGCCCCGTAACCAAGGTTCCAAATATCAAATAACCACAGGAAAAGAGGGAACTCAGAGAAATGCATGCTAAGAAAAAAGCTGTGTTCTTTTAAAATCTTTTAGAGCCCAGGTGATTTTAGGTCCCAACATAGCTTCAGTCCTGCTCACTCCAACTTTAGGTATTATAAGTAATCTAGAGATGATTTAAAGTATATAGGAGGATGTGCATAGGTTATATGCAAATATTATGTCATTTTATAGAAGGGACTTGAGCATTTGTGGATCTTGGTATCCATGGGGGTCCTGGAAACAATCCCTCACAGAAACCAAGGAACGACTGTATTTTCATGATGGCAAATATGAAGCACAATATCATCTTCCTGAGATGTCACCTGCTCTGCAAGGTTGTTAGGAGGATTAGGAATGATGTTGGTAAAAACGCATTGGCCCGTAATTAGCATGCTGTTTGTTTCTAGTAAACCACAGCTATATTGTTATCCTAGGAAGGCATATATAGCCAAAAGCACAACAAAGAAACCTGTGTGTGCTGCTTACCAGCTGCTAGATGAACTGAAAACCTACACTGTTTAGACCTCTGAGCTATAGAGCGCCAGCCCACCAGCCTTGCACTGTGACTCAGTTGCCCTGCTGTGGTCCCAGCAGTCTTTAACTCTCGCTGAGCTCCTTGAACTTCTCTGCCTTACCGTGTCATCTAATGTCTCCACTCTTCTTTCAGTGTGAAAGGAAACTAAAGTCAAAGGGGTCTTTGCCCCCAAAATATGCCTTGGAGCTGCTCACTATCTATGCCTGGGAGCAGGGGAGCAGGATACAGGATTTTGACACCGCTGAAGGTTTCCGGACAGTTCTGGAGTTGGTCACAAAATATCAGCAGCTCTGCATCTTCTGGACAGTCAATTACAACTTTGAAGATGAGACCTTGAGGAAGTTCCTACTGACCCAGATCCAGAAAACCAGGTGCCCTAACCAGCCCTCTCCTTTTCTTAACCTGATTCCCTTCAATACTGTTTCAGTGACCTGGATTCACCTCCCCTGGGGTCATGATTCATTCTTTCTGTGAAATTGAGGGGAAAGTGCTAACCAACAGAATCTCATACTGTCTCTAGGGATAAAATCCTAGGGAGACAGGAAAAAACATCCAGAAAGAATAGAGAAGGAAGGACCAAGGCACGAGGTCCCTGAATTGCTTTCATCTTTCTAGGTCAGAAGGAAAAGCGTGAATTCATTATCAGGTCTAAGGGGTGTGGAAGTTGGGTGTGTCCTGAGAATTAATGCTGTTATTCATGAGATGATTTATCCTGCAGGGGTTGCATTATCTACCCTTTCTACTTCCAGACTTTCAAAAATAGTAAGAAATCTCAGTACATCTGTTCAGTGCTACCAACAGGGGACAAAATCAATAGAAACAATAGGAAAGGAAAGAGAGAAAGTAAGAGCATTGAGAAAGAATAGAGAAGTAAGAGAGAGAAGCTACTGCAGGTTGCCTGCCTGCAGGTGCTGGCCTTCTCGGCAACGTTGTGTTTGATTAAATTGTACATTGTATTTCAACTGACCTCGCATGAAGGAGATATTTACATTATGTCTTCATGTGTATTGTAATTAACAACTTTCCAAACACTTTTGACAACTATAACTTAATTCCAGGGAATGACTCTGAACCGTATTAGTATATTTGAATTACTTACATCTAAGCTACAAGGGCACATTATTTTACTGCTGAAAGTAGGATGGGCCCCCAATTCTGAAGCCACTGATTTTGGAATGAACCCTCTAATGCCTTCTAACCTCTCATTTAGGCCTGTGATCTTGGACCCAGCGGAACCTACTGGTGATGTGGGTGGAGGGGACCGTTGGTGTTGGCATCTTCTGGCAAAAGAAGCTAAGGAATGGTTGTCGTCTCTCTGCTTCAAAGATGGGACTGGAGACCCAATACAGCCATGGAAAGTGCCAGTAAGAGTAATCTAAGGGAAATGGCTTCTGGAGATAGCCTTGTAACAGGTTTGAATCAAAGAACTTCCTTCTCCTGCTATAGCAACTTGAAATTAATTCAGCCACAAATGACAGAATACCCAACTGGCAGATTAGGCAATTGCCTCCACCCCCTTACAAGTAATCCTAAGCAGGCAACCCAGGATTCATGCAAGAGCTCGGTAGAACTTTCTCCCTCTGCAGATTTTCTCTACCACAGGACTAGTGACATTTGGGGTTTGATAGTGCTTTGTTGGGGTAGGGGACTATTCTGTGCATTGTGGAATGCTGAGCAGTGTCCTGGCCTCTACCCATTAGATACCAGTAGCACCCCCTACCCCACAGTGTGACAATCAAAAGTGTCTCTAGACATTGACAAATGTGCCCTGGGGAACACAGCTCTTTCTGGCTTTTGGGTCTTGGTTCCACTCTCTTTAGTTGTTGACTTTAGTACTCATGGCCCTACTGCACCTCCAGGTGGTAGGTTCATGATCCAGGCAGGAAAATCAGAAAGGGGAAGATGCCCGAAAGTCAGGAACACAGAGATTTTATTAGAAGCCTCATCCAGCAAATTCTCTTACATTTCATTGCCCGGAACAGTCACACGGCTACCCATAACTTGAAGGTGGCTACGGAGAAGGAGAATGAGGATGATTGTGGATGCAGATTGGTCAGTCACCCAAGAGTGTCTGCCACATTTGTCCAAAGCTCCCCGTCCTACCAAGACAAACTTGGTACATCCCACCAGGATATACTCCCACCAGGTACACTGGGTTCTCCCCAACCAGCTTCTTTCTTTAAAGCAAGGTTTCTCAACCTTGGCACTATTGACATCTTGGGTCAGATAATTCTTTGTTTAAGGGGCTGTCCTGTACATTGTAAGATGCTGAGCAGCATCCCAGGTCTCTACCCACTAGATGTACCCAGTTGTGACAATAGAAAATGTCTTGAGACATCATCATGTGTCCTCTGGGAAGCAAATTGCTCCTGGGTGAAAACCCTTGTTTTAGAGGAATCCCCCTGCCTCCAACCCCAGGGTCAGCTCTACTTATCAAGATCTGTTCTCTCTCTCTCTCTCTCTCTCTCTCTCTCTCTCTCCTCTCTTTCCCCCTGACTCTATTAACCAATAGTTGTAACTGCTCAGGAAACATTGTCCTCCCACATATATTTCTTTCTTTTGTAGACAATGCAAACACCAGGAAGTTGTGGAGCTAGAATATATCCTATTGTCAATGAGATGTTCTCATTCAGAACTCATAGAATCCTGGAATAACAATGCTAGAAGAAGACATCTGGCAATGGCTTTTAAAGAATTGGTTCACCGTGTAAAAGAGTAACCCAAATTCATTCTCCTCTTGATGATCACTAACCCATCCTTTGCTTCTTGGACTCTTCCTGAAATCCAAACTGTGAAGTTCCTCATAAAATCTTCCCTGGCTGAACCCCCACTCTGTGAGTGACCTACATTTAAAAATATTTGCTCTGGGCTGGCCCTGTGGCTCACTCGGGAGAGTGCGGTGCTGATAACACCAAGGCCAAGGGTTCGGATCCCACATAGGGATGGCCGGTTAGCTCACTGGGTGAGCGTGGTGCTGACAACACCAAGTCAAGGGTTAAGATCCCCTTACCAGTCATCTTTAAAAAAAAATAAATAAATAAAAATAAAAATAAAAATAAAAATATTTGCTCTTATCCAGCTTTATGTGCACCATATTTCTTTCAACCATTCTGTGTTTTTCTAATCAGTGCCTCCCTTTTCCTTCAAGTCTTAAAAAGGAATCTTTCTGTGTCTCCACAGTGAAGCCATTTACCTGTCCCTTGGTTCCCGCAACTCTGTGATCTTGCTCTCATAATCATTCACCTCTGTCTCCTTCCCTCTGTATACAAAACTCTTTCTGCCTCTGTCAACACAGAGGTCTCCCAAGCCAGCAGCCAGCCAGCACTTTCATTAGACCTTTAAACCCTCCCAAGGCTTGGACTATAACTGTCGCCTTATATATATGTATATATAGACAACAGTTGTCTTTTTCTTCTGAGCCCGCCTTCATCCTGCCACCCAGGAGTATCTTCTTGCCAAATCTAAAGGCTTCAAAGATACTTGAAGGTCTAAGTGTTTTAACCTCATCTACCCCCACTTAAGTTTTATTACTGCTGCATTACGAATTGTGATATAGTAAAGAAGATATTTGGCTTCTGTGCCCAGTTTCTGGCACAAAGCTTCAAAAACCCTTGGAATCTCCTGATAGGAGTGTCTTTTGTATTCACAACAGGCCCCCTTCAATCATCCCTGAGTTTATGCTACCAAGGTGACACATGGGCCCTAGTTTCAAGGGAGGAGCTGGCCATGTCAGAAAGATCAAGCATGTGATTAGAGGGTTGGCAGTTTCAGCATGACCCTCCTACCTCCAAGGAGGAGAGGGGACTAGAGATTAAGTTCAATCACATAGCCAGTAATTTAACCAATCATGCCTATGTAATGAGACCCTAATAAAGACTCTGAACAATGAGGCTTGTAGAGTTTCCTGGTTAGTGAACATTCCAGTGTATCAGGAAAGTAGAGTATCCAATTCCATGGGAACAGAAGCTCCTGAGATTGGGGCCCTCCCAGACCTGCCACCCTATGTATCTTTTCATTCCACTGTTCATTTGTATCCTTTGTAATAAAATTGTGATTGTAAGTATAGCACTTTCCTGAGTTCTGTAAGTTATTTTTGCAAATTACTGAATCTGAAGCGAGGTCATGAGAACCCCCAAATTTGTAGCCAAGTTGGACAGAGGTGCAGGTAGCCTGGGGACTCTACTTGTGGCTGGTATCTGAAGTAAGGGCAGACATGGTGGGACCTTGCTCTTTAACTTATGGTGACTGCACTAACTCCAGGTCATTAGCATCAGAATTATACTGAATTGCAGGACAGTCAGCTGGTGTCAGAGAACTGGTGTTGGAATATGCCACTACTCTTGTTCAGAACAAAGACAAGAGAAATAGATATAATGAGTTGAAAAATTAAAGAATGACCATTCTAAGTACACGTGTACTCAACCTACAGCTAGTTACCGGACCTTTGAGATGCCCAAACTTGTGCTAGATACATAGATAGGAAACAAGGAAAAGAAAACTATAAGACACTGTCACCATCTTCACAGGGCTTATGGTATAGCTGGAGGAACTGAAACACATAACTCTAAATCCCTTAAAGAAAAATGAAGGGCAATTCAGAACCATCTGCTAAGTGATTTGTATGTGATGGGCAAGACCAGTAAGAATAAAGCCACACAAAACAGGAAGAGACCATTTCGATCTTTCTCACCAATGTCTTCTTAGCATTCAGCAGACATTTAAATTCACTAAGAGTAAAGAGAAGAGTTCACAGTGATCAAAAAACAAGTAGTCATTGGTCACTATTGGAAGTAACTAGGGGATGAACCCTGTTGCTATGGGTTTAAATATGTCCCCCCAAAGTTCATGTATTGGAAACTTGACCCCCATTGTAATAGTGCTAACAGGATGGGAAATCCTATTATGGTATTTGAAAGGTAGGGCCTTTCAAAGGTGATTGTATTGTGAGGACTGTGCCCTTGTGAATGGATTGATCCATTCATGGAGTAATGAGTGTGGTTCTGATGGCTTTAAAAGGAGAGCAGGTGAGAAGGTCAGCTCTCTCTTGCTCAGCCCATTCTCACCATGTGACACCCTGGTTGCCATGGGACCCTGTAGAGAGTTCTCACTAAGAAGAAGGCCCTCACCAGATATGTTCCCTGGGCCTTGGACTTCCCAGCTTCCAAAACGGTAAGAAATAAACTTCATTTCTTATAAATTACCCAGTTTCAGTTATTTTGTCATAAGCGGTATGAAACAGACTAATACACTTGTCTCATAAAATTGGCAACTAATGGCAATGAATATGAAATAATTAAACACAACCTTTCTTGCACAAATTATATTTCAAGATAAACAAACAGCCATAACTGATAAGGAAAATTTATTATTTTTTACAGAAGAATTATATTTAATAAATGTTGGAAGGATGACAACATTAGAAACATCACCATTTTGCAACCTCTGATGAAATAAATGATTTAGGCAGAGATTATCAATAGATGAAATCATTCAATGAAATGCTGATGGGGAATGCTATTATGGCGGGGGAGGGGAGGATGTTACCTCCCAAATCCACAGCTTAATCACAGCGTCAACAGGAGAGGGACAGCCAGACACACGTGCTTCCAGATGTGAGGCAGAGTGGAGCACACACCACCATCCATGAAGTGTTCTTGCCAAATCAAAAAATTATGTTACCTCCCAAATCCACAGCTTAATCACAGCGTCAACAGGAGAGGGACAGCCAGACACATGTGCTTCCAGATGTGAGGCAGAGTGGAGCACACACCACCATCCATGAAGTGTTCTTGCCAAATCAAAAAATTTTTTTTTAATTTGGCAATTCCCAGAGAAAAATGTATAGGACAGACAGGCTTTAAAAAAAGGAAACAAAATAAGGAGAAACCAGGACAGCAACATGGAAGAGCATTCCTCCCTTCACGAGGTCAGAAGGGAAATAAGCCAAGAACATAGCAAGAACCCAATTGAGTACAGTAAAAGGTCAAGATCCAAGTCCTATATTCCACACCTGGTTACCCTAGCAACCAGGACCCCGCTTACTTTAAAAAAAATAATAATGAAGAAATTATTAGAAGCAGGGCCAGGCACATGGCAAGTGGCCAATGGCCCAGGGGGAGTTTGGAAGGAATTTGAGTGACAGACCACAAATGAGGTCACCAACAGGGAGAGTTTATGGATAAAAGGATTATCTGTAGACTGCATGCTGGAGGGCTTCAGGACCTGAGGCTTCTGCAGCTGAGTCTGGTCAAATCTGAGCAGGAAAGACATTATCACTCATCAGTTCTATTCACTGGCATCAGTATGTGGGATAAACCTCTGATAGGGAAAAGGTGAAGGAAGCTCTCTCCCTCCTGGTCCTGCCCTGTATGAGTTGGCCAGGGGCCACAGGAGTTGGGTGTAGACCGGGAGGGAAGAACTCAGCACGGAGAGCAGGGCATTAAGATCCCAGCAACTCTCTCCAACCAAGAAGGTTCCATGTGAGCACAACAGAGCCCATGATGCTTGCCTCGGGTGGAGTTCCTCAAAGAGGGACTATAATATCTAAGCTACTATTCCTTAATTGTAGGGCCAGGCCATGGATTAGGGAACCCCTCACATTCCTGAGGAAACAAGGATATGGGGCTCCAACTGGTAGGGTTGGGAGATATTACCAGGAGAAGGGGAAAGGCTCAGTTTTGGGGTGTTTAAGAAATGAGATCCTTTGCTTAGCCAAGAGAAAAAGGCTCACAATGTCAGGAGAGAGAGCTCCTTCTAAAGAGCTTGACCCAAACCCTGGCCGGAAGGGAAAAGGTCCCAAAGTTGGGAGAGCAGGATAAAAGAGGCCTTTTGAAGAGTTTGGCCAGCATGATGGCCAGAAAAATGGAAGAATGAGGTGGCCAGCAGGTGACCACAGTGTGCTCTTGGTCCAGTCCCTTCTGACAGCAGGAGAGAAAACATCACTAAACTCATGGGAGGCCTGGGAAAGCAGGAAGGGAATAGCAGGCAGAAGAATGGCCCTCGGTGTCCATATCCTACCCCAGAACCTGTGAGTATGTTACCTTACACAGCTAAAGGGGCTTTGCAGATGTGATTAAGGTTGTGGATCTCAAGATGTGGAGATTATCCTGGATTATTCAGATGGGCCCAATGTAATTACATGAGTCCTTAAAGCAGATAATGTTTCCCGGCTGAAGTTGGAGTCACTGAAGAGGAAGAAGAGAGACCCGAGATGCTGTTGCTGGCTGGAAGATGAAGGGGGGCATGAATCAGGGAATGTGGGCACCCTCTAGAAGCTGAGAACAACCAACAAGAAAACAGGAACCTTAGTCCTACAATTGCTGGAACTGAATTCTGCCAACAAGAATGAACCTGGAAGCCTATCCTCTCCAGAGCCTCTAAGAAAGGAACACAGCCCAACCAACACCTTGGTTTCAATCTGTGGGACCTGACACAGAGAAACCAGTTGAACCTACTGGGCTTCTGACCTACAAAACTGTGAGATAACAAACTTGTGTTGTTTTTGTTATTGTACCTGGAATGTTCTGCTCACCGGGTGCACAACTGTGCCAGTTGAGTTGTACACCAGGATTCGTAGTAGCAAAACTTAGGCACCAGTTAAGGAGAACAGGAAGCTTGTGCTTTCAAAATCCAAATTCCCCAATGACTTAAAATCACAAGTACTTATAGAGCAAAAATCATAAATAGGAGTCTTGGGGGATCTGACTGTCTTACCATGAATTCAGTACAATTATTTCTGGCGTATTGAGTAATGTCTCCTTGGCTTTGGCAGATCTGCGGAGTGCGTGCATTTCAGCAGGTCTCTGGTCTCTGGTGCTCTTGCTTCACCTGCAAAACAAACTTAGGACTGGCATCACAGATGTTACTAAAGACCATTTTTCAAGGAACAAAC